TTCAACGTCCTATATCATTTGATCTCAAATCAGTTCTTAAATCTCCTTTGCACTTACAAAAACTTTAAGCAATAAGTTCTTGGATGTCTTGTAACTAGAGTCCAAAATGAATAACTTCATGCAACAAATAGCAATAAATGTAGTTATTTTTTATCATACTTTTGTATTTAGATGTTTAAACATTAAATTACATTATTAAATTTTTTTTATTCAATTACATACAATTTTATATGATTTTAATTCAACTTAAATTTATTTTTTATACTATTTTATTGTTACATATAATTACATACAATTTTAAATGCTTTTTATTGCAACTTTATTTCATATATTATTTACAAAGTTTACATACACCTTTGTTTTTTAACTTAACTTAAAATGTTCTTATATATTGCTGAAAAGTTTAGACAGAATTACATACAATTTATAAGTTTTTAATGCAACATAAATGTGCTATTTAAATTTCTACATGCAATTTTATATGTTTTTAATGCAACTTAAATGTATCTTTATTTTACATTTAAATGCTTTATAATGAAACTTAAAAGTATCTTATATATTTGCACTTTTACATGCTATTACATACAATTTTGTATGCTTTTTAATGCAACTTAAATTTATCTTGTATATTATTTACATTTTTAAATAAAATCTGTATATGATTTTAATGCAAATTAAACTGACCATATATTACAATATTTTTTTTTACATACAATTTGTACACGATTTTAATGCAACTTAAATTGATTTGATGTATTATTTAATTTTTACATACAATTTTTTCTATGATTTGTAATGCAGCTTAAAATGTTTTATGTATTATGTAAACTTTTACATTTTGAGTCTATGACTTCATAAGACTTGGACTCTAGTGCACAGCTCATATGGTGCTTTTTAGCTTTCATCGCACGAGAGCAGCGTGAACATCCGTCTAAACGTCTCCTTTTGTGTTCTACAGAACAGAGAAAGTCACACGGGTTTGAAAGGACAGTAAATGATGACAGAACCTTGATTTGTGTGTGTTTGTGGCAGATGAAAGCTCTTCCCCACGCATGCCCTCTGGGCTCTGGCACACATCCACCACAGCTTCTTTCTTCTCTCTCTTTCCATCTAAGCTTAAGCACACAGCATCCACACAGTGTCATTCTCTGGGTGAGCTTTGAGCCACTTCTGATGCCTGATTTACCACGGTATTCCAGACTGAAGCCCGGGATAGATTTCATATAGAAAAACAGAGAAAGCAACATCATAAAACGCCTCATGCACGGCGTCCTATCTGTACAACAGACACTCGGGACGGGTTATCTGTGCTTGTTGAATGCTTTGCACACAATGCACTAGATGTGTGGAAATCAGTGCCAGTCATCTCATTTGAATCACTGTGTCCATTGTACGCAAACACTGATGGCGTTTGGATGCGATATGTGTTTTGCATGTATTTAAAGTGTTCGACATCATATGACATAGGAAGACTATACTGTTTATACAAGCAAAACATCAGTGCATTCAAATCACCAACCCAAACCATAACTAGAGAGCAGAATACATCCATCTAGCAAACCGCCCAAAACACAGCATTGGAAAATCTATTATTTTAGTATCACTGAGATACTATTATAGCTTTAGAGTTAAATATTTGTAATAATATTTTGAATTTGTATATATATATATATAATACATAATAATTCTATTATAATTATTATAATATAATTCTATAATGATATTTTACATTCATTTCAAACTTTTTAATACATTACACACACATTTATATTATTTATTTATCATTATTTATATTTTTATTGTAAAGTATTCATTCCATTCATTCAATTCATTTATTCGGCAATAAATTCAACCTATTGACTGCATTAACCTTATAAACAATCTGCAGTTTTGTTGTAAGTTTTTGTAATTTTAGCAGTTTTTTTAGACATTAGCCAAGTTTTCATAAAATTTAATCCAAATTTTAATAAATTTAAATGTAATAATTTTTCAAATATTTTTTATACTTTTAATTAATAACATTTTAACATACTTAACATTTACATTTTTTTATTTTAATTAATACAAATTAATTTTCATTTTAGTTTTAGTTATTTTAGTACACCAAGATTAGAAACGCTGACATAAAAGGCTTTTGATTGATTGATTGATTGATTGATTGATTTTTATTGATCTATTATTTATTTATTTGCATAGTTTTACTTGCATTTTTAGTTACCTATAACCCTGGTACTAAAACAATGAAATAAATAAATTCAAAGTTGTTAATAAAACATATCACTGGTGAACATTTTAAAAGAAAATAGTATTTCAGTCTTTCTACTTCAAAATTTGACGTTCAACTAAATGCTGTTTCTTTGTAATGAATTGAGAAGTTTACAAACACTCTCAGAGTGAAAAAGGTTTCTACACCAAAACATGATGGAAGTGACTTTTGCAGGTTTAAACAGCACTTCAATTTCCTCGGGAAATGCATGAAACTAGTTGATTTAACATGAACGCTCGAGTCAAAGACTGCAGTTTGGTTTTGCTCTAAAGGTTCTGGTAATCTAGGATTATAATCTGCATAATTTTGCATCTATTCGGGTGCGTTTTATTCGGCCATCCAGAACGCAGAGTGATTGCATGCTCCGAGAGTGAATTTGGGCTGAAATGGTTTTGAGCTGATTTGACAGGACAAGTACACAGGAAAGCCATTACTGCGGCTGCTGTGAAGAGAACAGACTCAACGGCTACATTTGCAGATCGCGTTTTTTCTTCGATGATTTCCTCTCGCTCGCTCTTCACCTCCAGCTGCACGAGACTCTTTATCTCACAGCCTTTACAGCTGCAGCTCAGTGTTTGTTTGAGGACGTGAGCTCACGCCACCGCCGCCATTCTGGACCAACAACGTGGCCGCGACCAGGTGAAATTAAATCATATTTAGGAAAGTGAAACACACTGTACTGTACGTGCAGAGAGCCTAAACAATGCTAATATTAGTCCTACTGCATGCGATTATGCATGAACCGCATTATGATCTCATTCGTATGCGATCATTTTTGTGTTTGTACAAATCAATGCACTAACAAAATCTAAAATATGAACAACTTTCCAGACCAAATCTTTCAGTTTCCACCACAGAATTGCAAATGCAGCTGATTTATCAGTAAATGATGCAACTTTGTCAGAGAAAGAACTTTTGAAGGCAAACATATGATAGATTAAATCCACATGTGACTTATTAATAAGTCATTCACACTCTGAATTTAATTATCATCAAAGCTCAACGAGTATAAGTGAAACAGTTATAGTGTAATGCATGTTTCACTCCAAACAAGATGAAATCATTATAATGTCAAATCAGACCATGTGTTAACTTCATTAAATAAATGTGATGTTAAAAATAATGCTAACATTATACAAAAAGGTCTCACTTGTTTAATGCATTAGTTAACATTAACTACCAATGAGATATGTGTCTTCATGTTAACTAATGAAAGCTTATTGTAAAGTGTATCAAAATAATTATTCTAATTTTTTTAACTTATGAATAATATTTTCAGTACACATATGCAACCTATGAATATACTGGATTCTTTTTTCTTTCAGTTTTAGTTATTTTAGTACATCAAGTTAAACTCAATGAAAATGAGAAATGTTGTCTTGGCTTTTTTACATTTTATTTCAGTTAATGCTTTATTTCAAGTCACAAAATTTTTTATTTTTATGGTTTTAATTTTAGTTTTAGTTACCTATAGGTACCCTGGTTTAAAAAAAAAAAAGAAAAGAAAAAATGTTCAAAGTTGTAAATAGAACAAAGATTATTGAAGTAACAATAAATTCAATATTCGATAAACTCTCTGCAAACTTTGTTGAGTTTTCAGCATTTTTTGTTTATATATATATATATGCATGTCTATATAGTTTGTATTAATTTTTATTTCAGTTTTAGTTTTAGTTTCATCATGTTAAACTAAATGAAACTCAACTAAATTAAGATAAACTAAACTAAATTAACATGAGAAATGTTGCCTTGGCAACTAGTTGAAATAAAAGTTTTTTTTATATTACGTTATTTTATTATTTATCATCATTATTTTATTTAAAGTAACCTAAAATGTTTTATTTTTATGGTTTTAGTTTAGTTTTAGTTAACTATAATAGTCCTGGTGAAAATAATTTTCCAAAGTTGTAAATAAAACAAACAATACAATGTGAATTCCATGTTCAATATTCTAAAAACATTCACACATTTCCAATGTTTTAAAGGGATCAATATACTGATTCTGCACCAACCAAAAGTACAAAAACATGCCATTTCTTACATATGAATACTCATGAATATTAATGAGATGAGGTGTGCATTAATAGCCGGAGCAAATCAATCCTGTCAGACTGGAGGGGCTCACAGGAACAAAGCGGAGTTCAGGAGCCGATCCCGCCTCTTAAAATTCCAGAGTTTGCTTTGGATGAAAGCGTCTGCCAAATGCATCAATGTAAATTATCCATAGTTATGACAGCAAATTAAATCCCTTTATCCTTTATGTATCTGAAGTCCAAGACTATGCAAAACTATGCAAGGTAAAAAATAACTAAAAACACAACCCTAATAATATTAAATGCAAGCATAACATTGTTCATTCTGACCACAGTGCATTTTGTGCATTGAATTATTGGCTATAGCAAAAGCATGCAACCAACCATAATTCCCAGTTTTCCTACTCATGTCATGTTAATGACATTTCTGTATACTTTTGTAAGATAAACAGTTCTGTACCGTGTTTGTCTGAGCGTCACGAAGCACAACTGCAGTAGGAAACCCTGGTTTAAAGCATCACTATAAATAAATGGGTTTTTTTTAAGCTGGCTTTTCTGCAAGCTTGCTTCATAGTTTCCAGCAAAACTCTGGCAGTGGGAAAGGCAGAGCCTTATTAAGAGTTTATAACCCGACCACAATATCAATAGCATGGATTAAAAAAAAGGGGGGGACAGAAAGATTACAGTAAGACCCGGCTTACGGCGAGCGGCTCGTACCTTTGAAATGTCAAGAGGAAGGAGGAGGTGAAGCCATCGGCAAACTCATTTAAACACTCGTACCTGGAACGCCGCAATACAAACATTCAGCTGCGCATTCACATTGCAGGTATATATTTAAAACATAAACGCTGTACGTTGTTTTCTTTCTGTGAAATGGAAGTATCAAACGACCAGCGCAACGATTTCCACACGCAGGCAAAAATATCCCGAAAACAGGAGCGCCGTCTCAATAATCGCTGACTTTCCGCGGCGTCTCACGCCTCCCCCTCCGTTTCCTAATCTCGACTGGCAGCAGTCGAACAAATTAGGAGCTTTCAAAAGAAAAGAGTGTGGAAAATAATTAAGAAAATATTTTTAAACAAAGTTGGTCAAAAAAACACGTCTGCTTGGTGCAAACGCGCGCGTCGGCTGGCTTTGCTGATTAGCCGTCTTTAAAAACTCAATTATGAAAGCGCTCTGCCAAAAGCCGCCTCACAAGGAGGACCCGGTTGAGACCAGCTGTGATGCCATTTTGGCTGGGCGCTTTTAATTTGAAGTTTACCCTCCGCCGTTTAAAGCGTTTATCTCATTCTCGGTGCAGGTCAGAGGTTCAGGGCTGTAAAACAGCAGGAAAACTCGCGGGGTTTTTATGCTGCGGTTTCAAATAATTGCAAACATGCTGCATTTACAGTAACTAGCAGCTCTTTGATTGGAACTAACTTGCGGCCCTGTCGTTCTGTATTTGTGTGAGATGTCATCAGGATAACGCTCAAATGCAGCAGCGCATGCTAGATCTGCAGTCAGTAGAGTCTAGACTACTAAACCATTACAAATCACACTGACTCACTTTAGCAGTCTTGGGTTTACCAGCCCCGGGCGCTTTGTCCTCGGGCGATGAAACTAGCAGGCGGTCCTTCAACCAAACAGCCCACAGGAGAGAAAATCACAAAGCAGATCTCCAACATCTCAATCGCTTCTCCAAGACAGAAATGAGATCACATGGAGACTTTGTTTGCTTTCTTTTGCATTTCTAAGAAATGATTTCTAGATTTTAGATCTCAACAATGTCTGGCTCAGTGCTCAGATTTGCCAAGGTAATGTGTGCAATCAAATCTGGCATGAACTCAAACACTTCTCATCGAATTCACACTCTTACATTAAGCTTCACAAAGCAAACCTCGAAAACATCTCCACTGTTTCTCCCAGTCAGAAATGAGATCACATGGACAGCAATTGGAGGCTTCTTTTGCTTTATTTTGCATGTCATGCTTAGAATTTTATTTGTATTTTTTCTGAGAAATTAGACTTTTGGAGCTTCAGATCTCGACAATGTCTCACTCAGTGCTCAGATTTGCCAAAATGTGCTCAATCAAATTCATCAAGAACTTAAATACATCTCATCAAATATGCAAAGATTCACATTCATTTTAATAACTCATTTTAACTATTTTCTCAATTATTAGACAACTGTTTGTCTCAATATGAGACAAATATGAGAAATGCAAGTAAGAACTCCATTAAGCAAACCTCATTAGAATCTAAATTGTTTCTCCAAGAGAGAAATCTTGTTTTTCTTATTTCTCTAATTTTAGGAGAAATATGAGACAAGCACATGAAACATAAGTAAGAACTCCATTAAGCTTCACAAAGCAACCTCTTTAACATCTCAAATGTTTCTCCTAGACAGAAATTATATTATATTGAGAACAAATGGAGACCCCTTTTTTTTTTTTTTTTGCATTTCCCACTTGTTTTTCGGAGAAATTAGATTTCTATTGTTTCAGATCTTAAAAGTGTCTCGCTCAGTGCTCAGATTTGCCTAAATGTGTGCAATCAAACTCAACATGAACTCAAATGTTTCTCATCAAATTCAAAGATCCTCGCTTATTTTCATTTAAATGTCTATACTCTTACTGCATGACAACTATTTCTCATGTATCTGTTTTTTATTATTTCTCTAATTTCAGGAGAAATATGAGACAAATATGTGAAATTTAAGTAAGAACTCTATTAAGCTTCACAAAGCAGATCTCGTTAACATCTCAACTGTTTCTCCTAGCCAGGAAATTAAGACTTCTTTCTTTTGACTCTCCTGCTTTGATATTTTTCCTAAGAAATCACATTTCTAGAGTTTCAAATCTCAAAAATGTCTCAAATGGTGCTCAGATTTGCCAAGATCAAGTGTGCAATCAAAATCAACATGTCAATCAAATATGAGACAAATATGTGTAAGAACTCCATTAAAACCTCAGCATCTCAATTGTTTTTCCTAGTCAGAAATGAGATTGCATGGAGAGAAAATGAAGACTTCTTTTGCTTAAGTCTCCGCAAACATTCCTCATCGGTTCACGCACTCGTACACATCCAACACAGATCAGATTATTAACTTTCACTCGACAAAATCGTCACAAAATATTTAATATGCACACTGAAAAACTGGTGTTTCAAACCATTTTCATTGCTACAGGAACTTGTAACACAAGTAATGAACAGGTTACACACTAAATTAAATGTGACACAATGTTCAGACCTCAAGACAATTGTGAGATTTAAGAAACTGTGTTTCATCCACAATTTAATGCATTACCGAGTGAAACAGGGTATTTCGCAAAACCTCACAGGACTGGGAAAGTTGTTTGAGAGATTTTGCACATTCTACATAATGACCAAAATAAAACCAGAAACATATATTAAATAAATAGAGACCATTTTAATTGAATGTACAATTTAGAGGGACAATTCACCCAAACATTCAAATATATAAATATATACTAAAATATATATCTTAATTAAAATAACAATATGCAGTCATCATATATATATATATATATATATAGGCCTATATATATAATGCATTCATTTTGTTTAAATATAAACAAATATATATATAAGCACACAGTCAAATTCTCAAAAGTAAAACAAATTGAATGCATTATTTTAATGGAAAATTGAGGTGAAATGAGTCATGGTTTGGTTTAAGAGATTTTGCGCATTGTATTGAATGGATTCTATATAAATAAACCCAAAAACAAGTATTAAATAAATAGAAATAGAATTCAAACATTTTTAAAACCAAAAATGAAAAATTCTGTCATAATTTACTCCTTCCAAACCTCAAAGGGCTCCCATGTTGTACGGTTCCCAACGTCCTTCAAAATATCTTCTTTTGAGTTCAAAAAGACAGAAAGTCATACAGGTTTTGAATCACATGAGTAAATGATGATGGCCTTTTCATTTTGGCATGAATGAAGCAAGTCTCCATTCGCTCTCAACTGAATCTCATTGCTTAACAGGAGAAACGATTATTTAAAAGTCTCATTTGTGATTTTTCTTGAAGCCACTCGAAAGGCTTTCAGCTCTGATTTAGAAATATGCAATGATGAAGAGATGAATTGTTTAGCAGGTGAACCTGAACAAGAAGCATGTATATCTGTGATAAGAGTCAGCCATGAATGAAGAGCCACTCACAGACGACACGGTCACAGGTCGAGACAAAAGCAGCTCACGGCTTCCTGTTAATTTCACGGGAAACCTTCAGGCTCACTTCTGAGAGTCATGCAAACGGTGTGTTTCTGTTCTAAAGCATCCCTCATGCTCTCTGTATGAGACGGGTTTGGGACAGTGCAACACACGTCTGATCCGGACTTTGTGGATGAAGTGTCCTTTAGGTGTGCGTTCTCTCAGGGGCCCCGGGCTCGTCCTGAAGCCGTGAGCTCCGGCTCTGTTTGCTCAGGACAAGTGCTTGTGTTTGCCCAGGCCGGGCAATGGAGCTCTCTCCATACAGCTCCTGCATTCCTGCGCGTCCGCCGTATTTATTTATCTCCTGTCCTGTTTCACGTATGGAACCTACAGTCTTGTACGTGTGGAGCAGAAACTCACATTACAGAACATCTGCACTCCGATCTGCTCATGTCCAGGTCATATTTCACAGTAAAATCATCAAAAAGAAATAAGTGATTATATTTTCTTTAAAAAAAGACATTTTGCTATATATATATATATATAACTATAAGGCTGAAAGTAATACAGGGAGACATAAAAACACTAACGGGGTGACTATCTGCCTCAAATCCCACAGGGAAATGCTAGTTGGTCACAGCCGAGTTGATTTTGCGAGTTCTGTGGTATTTTCTCTGTTAGCTGTTAGCTTTAGCTACTCTTCAGCTGGTTCAGGTGGGCTGTCAAACCGGCAGATAATCACAGCCCAAACAATATCAGCAACTTCCAGGCCTTGTCAAAGTTTCCTGCGTTTACAGCTCGTAAAACTTCCATGAAATGTGTTTTTGCAGCCCTGCCCTCGCTGATGCCTCGTGTCCCGAGCAGAGACCGAGCAGATGAGAGGCTGTTTCACTCCTGCAGTCTGCTATAACACCCTCAAAATCAACATCAATCACTATTAACCTCGTATACACATGCCATGTACTGTGGACGATTCATCAGCGCACATTATTCCATGCTTGACCTACATTTCCATCAAAAGTTTTCTTTTCAGCTGCACATTTAAATACAGCTTTAGCAAACGAATACTCAAGCAGTGGTGTAATGTAACGAAGTAATAATACTTTGTGACAGTACTTAAGTATTTTTTGGCAGTATCTGTACTTTACTTGAGTTTTTATATTTCAGCCAACTTTTACTTTTACCAAATTAAATTGTATACTTTTACTCCGATACAATTCCCCGAAGCATATTCGTTACTTACTACAAAACAGTCAGAAGAACACGGACCGCAGGAAAGCAGGTTTGACGAATCAGTGGTCTGCCGTCTGCAAGTTAGACTCCTAAAAACACCTTTGCTCGTGCAAACAAGCGCACGCACAACCGCCGATGATTTTCCACTCAAGTCGAGTCTGGGGTGTGCGATACAGCATCGCCGGCGATAATATGGTGACTGAATTGTTGTAATGATGTGCGATCGGACATGTTCAAGTGTATCGCCAAATCACACACAGTGTGCACGCACGTTGATTTATTAGTCTATTAAAACTCAAAATTCCAGGCATTCTAAATTGTAGACAGCAAAAATGCTTCTGTATGCTTTTTATATTTATATCATTTAATATAGTTACCCTATCACACAAAGAGTACCGTTTTTCTGCAGATATCAGCATGAACACATTTAATAATCATTTTATACAAGTTCAGTAAAGCAATAAGTGACTTACATTTTAGAGGTAAAATAGCTTGTTTTTGCTCAATTTTGCCATCGAATATAGTTCCTAACAAAGATCACAGCACTGTTTTGCGTCTCTGAGCAATGGAGAGTTAAAACTGAACATAATCTTACTATTCAAGCTGTGTATGAACATTTTATATATATATATTTATTTGCTTATTTTCCATTTTGCATGTACTTGTACTTTTACTTTCAATACTTAAGTACATTTAAGATTTGAAAAATAATTTTTGTACTTAAGTACAATAAATACAATCACATACTTTAAGACTTTTACTCAAGTAATATTCTAACTTCAACTTCTACCAAAGTCATTTTCTGGTAAGATATCTGTACTTTTGCTTGAGTATGGCTTTCAGGTACTTTATACACCACTGTATTCAAGGTCAGAATGCACACTTTTCAATTCCTGATGAATTAAATCCCACTCACCTACATTTTTTCCCCCCTCCCAGCTAATAAAAATTATGTTTTTCCAAGAACCATTTGCTAACATTCACATGAAGTGTTTTTCATGTATTAAGAATGTTACTTCTTAGTTATGCGACCGATAGAGAAACATTCCATTCTATCATTTGTTGAAAATGTTTGAAAATGTTACATTTGAATGTTCTCTCAACGTTCAAAACACCCATTAAAAATAAATAGAGGAACATACCTTTTTATCATTTTTAACTGTATGAAACATTATTTCTGAATGTTTTTGAAGCATTAATCTTTTCTCTCTCTCTCTTTTTTTTTAAAGTATGTTTCTTCTTGGTTAGGGGAACGTTAGAATAGCATTCCATT